GAACAGAAGCCCGAGAGGGTGACGACGTGGCGCAGCAGGACTAATACGTTCGGCACCAAGAATGCAAAGGAGGATGCGAGGGAGAAGAAGAAGAAGAGACACGGCGTGTTAGGTTTACACGGCAAGGGTAAAGCAGAGTGATCAGATTATCTGAGATCTCTCGTCCCAGTCTGCATTTTCCAGCGTCGGACACCTCAGCCGGAAGAATTTATCGAGTTGACCATATCAAGCGCCTGGGACGCAGAGGTTCGATCCGACGGTCTGAATCTCATCAGACCCTATCGACAAAAAAAATCATTTGACCAACCAGGAAGTCGTCGTAGAAATATTGAAAGGGAAGCTTTGCTTCACAAGCACCTGCACCTAGTGAAGCTTGACCTCACTAGCCTCACTAGCCAAGGGCTTTTGATACTTGAAGCCCCGATTGAGTAAAGCGTGGTCAGGCGGTCAGGCTACAGCAGTAGCCGCCCAAGTTGCCAACGCACACAGATTCTTCGTCTGCCTCCTTTGGCAGATGGGTTTCGGGAATCCTTGTCTCTCATCTCCGACTGGACGCCTCTCAAAGCGCCCCCATGTGCCGTGTTGTCTGCGGTCGAAACAATCGTCTGCAGGCCTGCTTGATCTTTTCCCCTCCTTCATTGTAAGGCTGGAGAATCCCGGCTCAACTCGCTACACAACCTTTGAGTTCAACGCATACGGCCATCATGGTTCTTGAGCGCCCAAGGCGCGAGGCTAATCCAGACTTTACAAGATTTAACGCGGATTTTGGACATCCAAACGAATATTACGACCCATTCCACCAGCCATCAAACCCCCTTTCCGGTTTCAAATATGTCCACGAAACGAGCAGCTTCCTACTGAGCATCGATCCTGGGCAGGAAACAGCAGAAGCGTCGGACTCGAGCCATGAACCAGCAGACCCAGAACCAGCAGAAGCAGACGGAGCTGCGGTATCCCCTCCAGGTTTGTTATTGAGGCTGAGAATCACAAAAAACCCCAACCTAATGATATTCTGACCGCTAGGCACACTCAAAGCGCTCGAAGGCATTATGTGGCGCGACACCCCACAAGAACTACGAATCTGGCTGCGTGCCGTCGAGGGGCAAGGCTATGTGGTCGACATTCCTCGTCTTCTGCGCTACGCAGTGGGTATAGCGAGCCTGGGCATTGTGAAGTATTTAGTTGAGCATGAAAAGGCAGATTTGAGGACGACTGATATCCTAGAGAGGTCTGTCATCTTCTTTGCCGCCGCTTGCGGTGATTTCCAGGTGCTGGAATACATTGCCGGAAAATTGAAGAGGAATGTTTCGATATCGAAAGAGCTGGCCCGAACAGACATAACTGGTGCGACACCACTCTACTATGCCCGCGATATCTGGCACGCCGCCGTCAACGCCAAATATCTCCTCCGGAATTATGCTGCCTCAGATGATAGAGCATCGCTGGCTCGTGCAGCTCTAGAACTCGAAGTGCAAAGGGGAAAGGCCAACGACGTCCTTTGCACTGATTGGTGCAACGTCCTTTTCCTTTACGGATGGCTCGATCTCTACCTGCGTTTCCCCGTCCTTTCTGAAAGCTGGTCTAGGCTAAAAGACCCCGAGAGCTTTTGCACTAATAAAAGACTTCTCACGCTGCGGAACCTGATGTCCCAGAACCACTGGCTTCTTGAACAGCTTGATGACATTTTATCAGACCAGTACAGCCCCGAATTAGTCTGGATCCACGTCCCGTGGACTAATGTGAGTTGAGGTGATGCCGATATCACTGTTAAACCACTAACCTGTTCCAACTCCTAGGGCATCCTAGTATCTGTAAATCATCCGCCATTGCTCCCAGACATTTTCACTCTTCTAACAGATCTACAGGCAGTGCTAGACTCTGTGGTAGACAATTTCAAAGACCGCACCTGGGAAACTCTGGACGTTGCGAAGGCAGCTCTTGTGAGCGACAACTTCAAGGATGCATTTCGGCGACGATCGTCACCGCCTGGTAACCCATATCTCGACTACTTGACACCCGTGTTCCGACAAATTTCTGGTCATAGATCTGCGGTTGTTATTGTATGTTTCAGTTGTTGAGAGCCACGGTGTTGTCTGCTAATAAGATGGCCAGTTCCCATGCATCGAGATCGTCAGCTTTGGAGACTTTGCGAGATCAAGGAAGCACCATATGGATCTACGCGCAAAGTTGAAGACTGAATTCCCGTCCATCACGAGCCGTGTCCAGACAACCCGCACTCTTGACGAAACACATTTCCCGTCTCTCAGCGCAAAAGCACTCGAGGATTTGAACAACGATCAAGTGGTGAGTCGGGAATGCCAGGAGCTCCTCAGTGGGGAGCCCACGACAGAGGCGACCAAACCGATCCTGGTGGTGTCGCAACTCTGGGTCTGGAACTTTGAAGCAGTTGTGCTGTCAGCGTACTCTGACCCAGGAAAGACTCCTGACGATTCGCTGCTCAGGGATCACGACGTCATGGAGTCTGAATTCCCCGTTATCGATGCATGGAGGGGAAAACAATTTGGTGCAAAAACTTTGGAAGGTGGGCGTAGCCCTGAGCTGAAGGTCGCATGTCTCTTGCATGACCAAATTGACTATTTCGACAAGACGCAAGCAAACGGAATGTACCAGGTGCCCCTCGACTACTTTGAAATGGGTGTGTTACGGATCATAGCCAGTGTAACCGAGTACACGAAGAATATGGACCCCCAGTCACTGGATGTGGAAAAGGAGAGGACCTTTATGCACGATTTGTCCGATATCAGAGTCGAGTTGGATGCGATCGACCAAGTTCTTACCCAGCAAAAGAACATCATCAGCGACTTTCATGATTATCTCGACGCTGCAGAAGATGATGTGGTATGGCATCTTGAAAATGCCGACGACAATCGGATTGCGAAGAGGAGTCTTGAAGATGACAAAAAGCAGATTAACACATATCGCGCAAGGATTGCCAAAATCCAAAAAGACGCAGACCGCATCGACCAGGCCATCAGCAATGCTCTGAATCTCAAACGTACCGCAGCAAGTATTCAAGACGCTCGCAACAGCGCCAAAGATGCTCGAACAAGCCTCCTCCTTGGTTGGGCCGTCCTGGGTTTCACCATCATCACGATTCTGTTCGCACCCTTGTCTTTCATGACCAGTCTCCTGGCGTTACCGGTGGACAGCCTGCGCCAATTTAATGGGACGGACGCGACTGGGGCACCGACTGCTATCTATCGATCCGGTTTCATCGCGTGGACTTTTAGTACGTGTCGGGAGACCATGAAGTCTGACGGACATGTACACTTTGCTGACGAGTTGACAGTTGTGGCAGAGGTCATTTCCATCGCCGTCACCGCCTTGGCCGTATATGCTGCCGTAAGATATCGGCATGTTCTGAATGGATTTCTGGTGCCAGATGACGTTGGTGCGCAGGGGCAGCAAGGAGGGCGTATTCAGAGCGAGGTTGCTGGCGGCGACGGAGCCTGGGTCGATGAGAAGCGACCGCATGCTGTTCTGAGAGAGCACGCTGACAACATGGGAGAAGCTTCAGGTGCCAATGTTACAGTGGAGTCAGCCAGACCTCGCGGTCTCCGCAAGCTACTGGGGACGACCAAGCCCAAGTCAAGAGACCCGGAGAAGTGATGTACGTTGCTAGATTGCGCGTTGAAAGCTGTCCTTTCATCGATACGAGCTTCTCAGTCCCAGGCGTTGTTGAACGGATGGATGACATCTGTAGTGGTACTAGAAAGGGGCATCGCATTTTAGAGAGAAGTTCACAGCCCCAGAGGCCTTATACCATATTTGAGAGGTAGACAGACGTCGAGGATATTCAGTTCGCAAATGGAAAGAGTCGAACGGCTACTACGTAGCTGAGTTTAGATCATCTCGCCGGCCGCCGTATACGCTGGCGAAGCGGAGAGCGGAAGGCCAAGGGGACCATGTTTTTTTGATGCCAAGATGGGTATAAACTGCTCGCGCCTCACCCCGTTTTGGAACGAGGGTGATGCCGCCCTATGCTCATCCGCTACTCACTGGTCGTGGGGTGATGGCGCTGGAGGCATCTAATAATTGCACCGCAGCCCTGCTCAAAAGCAGCGTCGGTAGACACGCACTTCTAAACTAGCTTCGCATACCACTTACTCCCAAGCGGCCCAAGTTCTATGGAGCTCCCTCGCGCTCGTGGCGTAGATAAATAGGGAGAATTCCTCCCTGCTCGCTACTTTCACCAGAGTCCACGTTCGTAAGGTATCCTAGCGCCGTCGCCCTTCGACTCTCAGTTTCGACCGACCGTCTTAACACAAAAGTTGGCCCTCATTGGAGCGAATGACTCAAACCTACGTATATATGACTGACTCCTTCCCACGAATTCCTGCGGTCGCCTCTGCTCGCTCCCCCCCAATCCGTCTCTAATCTACCTCCGCTGGCCCTTTTCATGTGCGCTGGCCTCTATACTTATAACTATCATAGCTATACCTGTATGGCGCGTTACGAGCCAGGGCTGAGCGCTACGTTCGCTCTAGCTGGCGGACTGAACATTGAGGACAGCGTCGACAACGTCGCATAGCTCTACTTCTAACACACCCACCGTAGGTCGAGAGGGTGCCTGATCTTCGATGCAATCCAATGGCATAAATACCTCAGTACGTGGCTTGATGCGGACGAGACGGTGGGCTGGCTGGGTTACACAGCCATTGATCCCACCACGACGGTATATGCGCCGCCCGAACATTCAAGCCCGAACTGGCATCGATGGTGGCATTGGCTGCGAAATCGCCGCCAAGCTGAAATTCTGGCTCGCCATCGGCGATCACCTACCGATTATCTCAGCCTGATCTGTGCCTCATGGCACAGCCACTTCGCTGTGCATCTCGCTGTGCATCACACCAGCGAATGCTTGTCACCACGCGCCCCTCTCTTCCTTCAACAGGAGTCTGAAGCGAAATCGTTGACATCCCCTCTCGCATCTCATTTCGTCCGATTGATTGGCATCAGTCACCAGCGACCTGCCCAACATGTTCGCCGCAGCGATCGAAAACTTACGCTCCGCTCTCGATGAAAATCCATGGGCCTGTGAGCTGGCCGGGATTCTTCCCTTGTCGGCCTTGCTCGACTTTGTCGACATGCCGAGCAAGCTTCACATCTTCCAGCTCATGGGCGCCGTTCCGCTCTGGAGCTGGCCCGTCACCCCGTCCGGGAGCGGCCTCCTGCTGTCCACGCGCCCGGGGACCGATACACATGCTTATCTGGACCGCTTCGGGAACACGCTGGCCTTGACGGGGCTGGATGGACGCTACGGTGATAAATACTTCATCAGCAACCCGGGAACGCTCCGTCTGTGTCTTGACTCTCTACCAGTCCAAGCTATCAAGAATCTCCATGGCAACATGAAGAAGAAACATCTACGAGTTCAAAATCTAGATATCGTTCGCGTCTGCCGCGTGGCAACCTCCCGAGGTCAACGTCTGCCGTCCGACTGCTGGCTTCGCCGCCTCTTCTACGACCCGTGGTGGATGTTCAGCACCTGGCACCTGGCAGTCTCGGCGGTTGGATGGGTCGCTTGGGGTGGGATAGTTGCTATGAGTTGGATCTTGGAGTGCGAGCTCTCTTTCGCCTTCGCGCTTCTCATACCGGTTACCGGCGGCGTCGTCTTCATGCTCTTCGGGAGTAAGTCGCAGCACCTGCTGGTCTCCAATCACAGCTCGTACAACCGACTCGTCCTGGTCACCGAGCACACCAACGCGATGTCCTGGACCGCTTTCTACGGAGAGAGTACTCTGGTGAACTCTCTGCTGAACCGACCACTGGAACCCGTCGGGCCTGATGTCACTTCTGCGACCACGTTTCGAGCCATACGTATGGCGCTTCGGGTCTGTATCATGGGTCAGTGGGCGCTCGTGGTAGGTGCGGCAGCAACCCAGCAATTCGATGCCTACGTCATCGCCTTTTGGATCATCTTCTGCATCTGGACGCACGCGTTTCTGATCCCACCCTCGACCGTGGCAGGCGAGTGGCTGAAATCTTGCGCCTGCCTCGAGCTTCATCGATACCGAGTCAAGGTCAGTTCGAGGCGGACCCTGCTCAACACGGTCATGGCTCTCAATCCGGATACGTTTCCCGAATCCGAGAACAGCCACGGCCAGCTATGTTTCTACGACACCGCACTGAAGTGGATCGATCCGATTCTGGCCCCCGGGCCGAGCCGCCTGGAGTGGGAGAACGCCACGAGAGAGGCCATGGCTGCTACCGCTCGTTGTACTTCAGACGAATTGACATCCACGGCCTGGGGGCATACTTCTGGGGATATGGTGGATCGGGACTGGGATAAAAGATACCCCCCCGATAACGAACATTATTGGAGGGACTGTATCTGGGAGGGCATTTATGTGGCTGAATGTGTCAAAAAGGGGGCAGGGATAGGCGGGCGCAAGGTTGCTGCAGTATACAATTAAGGTATCTTCGCCAAAATCTTGTATCAGATGTACCATACTGTGTTCCAGCGGGCAGTGCCAACAGGCGGTGAATTGACCGGCAGCTTTGTGATCCAATGGCAAAAATTGCCTCCGCACCTCGCGGTTAACCACAGGGATCCGTGTCTAGTCTGCAGGGTGCAAGGGCTGCCTCAGCTACCATCTGCATGCAACCCTGTCGAGTGATATTGGAATGTTGTGTAACAGCTTTGGAGGGGCACATTCCTGGTAACTGCACGGTGTGATTGGGGAAGAAGAAAAAAAGGTCGATAAGAGCACTAAAGAGCACGGAAGGGGTGGACACGGGAAATGCTGATTGGCAGCTGGCTCAGTTCGCCAGCCCAAGCTGCCCTACCTATATGTTCCTCCAGATCGGCTCAAAGTGTTCAGCATCATTCAGAGTGACACTTCTGTTGCCCCAATTTCTTTTCCATCGCTGTCAACCCGCCATCATGCTCGAGCGTGACCCAGTCACTGGCTATGTCTTCATGAAGACATTCAAGCCGAGGTCGGAACGGGATCAGAACCAGCTTCTCGCAGATGCGCCGCGAGACCCGAAGTTAAGATCGATAGAAGAGCTCCAGGACCGGGAGAGGATTCATCCAAAAACGAAAACCGAGCTTGGACAAACACCGCCGTTTCTTCGGGTCGGCCCTTTGGATTCCATCCTCGTCCCCGGCGAACAAGACGCTCAGAGGGATCAGCCTCCCTCATGTCCTAATGCTGGAGACGACCGCGCGGTAGCTGTGCTTGTACCTGGGGACTTCGGAACTATCATCAACGCCGAGTCGCCCTTGATGAACCAGCTCTTTCAGTTATGCCAACATGCCGAGATCCGTTGTTGCGAGAACCTGGTGTGCTCCGAGAAGCGCAGCGAGCTGGAGAAGCTTGCCCCTCAGTGCGACTGGGCCCCCTTCCGAAACTGGGCATTGCAGCTGATGGCCTGTCAGCTGACCATGATCGACCAGGGCAACTTCACCAGGCCCGTTCTTCGCATGTCCCAGGTCGTGACGTCGTGCCATTTCTTCTTGGTCGACGCGGGAAGAACTGTCACCAAGATGCCGTCTGCAAAGCTCGCCGGGCCAGGCAAGACCACACACACTGTCGACGCCTTTGGTGCATTCGAGACCATATATTGGATGATGACGATCGAGCACCCCCTCGGGCTGCTCCACATCATCGAACAGACATGGGATCCCAGCTTCCTCCCTGGCGCCATCACGGACCCGGCGATCACCAAGGCGTCTCAGAGGGCAGCCGGGGCGGGCATCTGCCCCAACCGATTCTGGAATCTCACAGTTGCCATGGAGCGGCAGCACCTCGACCTCCCCGCCATCGCCCAGGCTGCCGCTCGGCACCCTCAGCTAAAGCACCAGGGTCACGAGACATGCACACCGGCATTCTGTACCTTCACCGTCCTGGATAGCACAAGGGTGAAGCAGTGCCACAAGTGCTCCGGGCTCGAAGAAAATCCTTGCAAAAGGGAGGGGAGGCAGCTGTTCTTTGACCCCGAAAAGCTCGACGGGTCGATCCGGGATCAAAATCGCACTGTCTGGTCAACCGTGTCGGACGAGCCCGAAGTGTCCCAAGAGGGCCCCTACGTCGCCATCTCGCATGTATGGTCCGACGGAACCGGTGTCGGCCTGCAGGCTGCCGGCAAGGTAAACGAGTGCCTGTTTCGGTTCCTAGCCCGCATCGTCGAAAGGCTGGGCTACGATGCCATCTGGTGGGACGCAATCTCAATTCCCAAAGACCCCAAACTGCGGCAAGAGGAAATCAACAATATGCACCGCAACTACGGCGAGGCCGGGTGTACCGTGCTCCACGATAACTATCTCCTCGATTTTGAGTGGGCTGACAACAGCGAAGGGCCCTGCCTCGCCCTGATCTTGTGCCCCTGGTTCACCCGCGGCTGGACCGCGCTGGAGCTGATCATGTCGAAGGCCGTCAAGGTGCTGTACAAAAACCCCGAGGCGGGCGGCGAGCCGCTTATCAAAGACCTGGACGAAGACATCCTCGCAAAGGACCCCGCTCACTGCACGCGGGCGCACTGGATCGCCTCGACCATTATCCGACGTCTGCGACGCGAGATACGCAACGTGAGCGACCTCGCCGCCATCCTCAAGCCGCGAAGCACGTCGTGGGCTCGGGACCGCATGGTCATTGCTGGCTTGCTGGCCAAGGTCAAAGCTGACTACACAATGGCGACTCACGAGGTCACCAAGGCCATCATCGATCGTGTTTGGAATCTGAACCCGGCCAGCCTGCTCCATGGACAACCCACCATTGCCACCTCGGGAGGGTGGTCGTGGTGTCCGCACTCGCTGTACGACATGCCCTCGGTCACGGTGGGCGACCTGGCTGAGACGGGAAAACACCTGGTAGGGGACATGACATGCGTGGTGGATAAGGACGGCATAGCCTCGGGCTGTTGGCATTGGCGAGCGCTGGAGGAGGCAGACACGCGACACGATCTCCTCATACCCAACTCGCAGCACCAATCCGTCTCGCCCGCCATACGGGACGCCATTCGCGACTGGGAGCACTGCATGCTTCTGCGAGACTCCAACATGGACGGCGGTCTCGGCTTGATAGTCAAGCCGGCCAAACGCAGGGGCGATTTCATTCCGGCCCAGTACGTAGGCAGCGTGCGCGTGCGCGAGTCGCCGACCAAGCTGCAGGGGACGCAAGTCGACGAGCGTTATGACTTTGACTGGTTCCGCATCGGGGAGGTCGTCAACAGGGTGAGAAAGGCGGCCGAGTTCTCCAAGAAGTCTCACAATCAACGTCGAATTTCAAAATCGAGTCAAGACTGCAGCTGGGTGGCCGGGACGGGGAATCTGTGGCTAGGTGATCACCCACATGAAGGGCAGCTTCTGATTGCCCGCTACCTTCGGGAGGAAGGCGTCGTGGAAGGACTCCGCTTGGTCATCTCAGGCGACCATAAGAACAAGACTTACACACTGCTGCCTGCGGAGGATCCTGTTTTCCGCGTGAGTGCTGATTCCGGCAACAGCGTGCAAGGGGCAGGGAACGATTCGGCTTCCCATTTCGGCGGCCTACGGGTTCGACCGGTAAAGTACCAGGAGCAGTGGCCCCCCGAGCCCATACCGGCCTTCGGCAGAGTATACCGTTCCGACGCTGTGCCGGCGATGAACAGTTTCAGCATTTTCAAGCTCAAGACGGGTAGCAAGGAAAGCACTCTATACTCGCTCATTATCCAGCAATACCTCATACCCAACGTGAAGCAGCCGTTCGGGGGGATCTGGATTTGTACGTGTCTCACGCCCCTTCACCCGCTGGGACCCTCCTTCTCAACCTTCTGCCTGCTAACTGTTAACTTCTTCATGTAGATGTCCGGCCCGAACGTGTTCCTCTTGTTGCGTTCTTTTATCAGCAGCACCCTAGCCACCTCCAGGCTATCGCTCTGACAGGGGATGCATCACTTAAGCGGGGGTCCCTCATATTTGTCGTTGACGATTTGAGTGCCGCCAAGGAACCCTGCCATGGCGAGGGAGAATGGAAACACATGTCATACGTGGAAATTTCTTTTGGTATATACACCAATCTCCTCTTCTCACTGTCTTAGCTTTCCCCCTCCTTCTATATCACGATTTGACTAACCGATCCATACCCGGGGCCAAGGCGGAAGCAAGGGTGCCGTTGTGCTTGCCAGCGAGAACGAGGCCATCTTGCTTGTTGATGACGTGACAAAACGTGGCCGGTTCTGCCGACTTAGAGCAGAGGATCAATCAGATCTCACGATTCGCAGTCTGCTCGACCCAAGCTCTGCTAGTAAGTAGAGGCTTCGTTCGATAGAAATGATCTGGACATAGGATGACCGGCTGTGAGGGCTCAGTCAACTGCCGCTATGATAAGAGACCATGCAAATTTCGATGCTGTTTGCATTGATTGCCTAGATAACCAAGTGTATGTGAAAACTCTTCATGGTTATTGAGTTCTGTAGTTGCTGTTTGGAATGGCTGATAGAAAAGTCGTCAAACCCACGGTCCTCATCGAGCTCTGTCCAAATTCCGTGGTGGGAGAGTTTTATGCTCCATTGGTAGGGAGGGAGGGTCTGTTCGAGCAATGGGACGAGAAGTTGATCGACAGTCGAAAAGGCGTCAAAGAGGGAACCAGTTCTGGGTCCTGGCTGGCGCTGCATGCGGTGGAGGCAGGTTCAGGATGGAGGGTGAGTGTGAAAGTGAGAGGGGAGGTGGGTGGTCATATAAAAGCGGTACAGTCGGGTCTTTAGCTGCCAAGATGTGCCGTTCCATGATTCGTTCAAACCGCAATTGGCGATCCCCGGGTTGTGATGATTTGCTCCCTTTTGCGACTTGCATCCTGCGACTTGCGCCCGGCACATGCGTGGCTTCAATTTTTCATTATTAACAATCACCACAAGTTCGCCCGTGAATTGCTCGAACGTGGGCTTCAGTTTGGTGGCGTGCAGGTGGAAGTCGTCGACGGTGCCGATGCGCAGAAATGCTGTTCCCCGGCCAAGCCGGAACTGACGCGGTAACATGAGAGTGCCGCACACCGCACACGGGAGCAGAAATAGTTTGGTCATGTTGGTTTTTGGTGGCAATCGTCTCGGGACTGGCTGTTAGGCCGTGAGTTTCTTCGCCCGGCCCGCGTGCATGCTTCCAAGTGCGTTCAACGGTCGGCGATGATAAAGTTGGAGGCGAACATTGGGACGAATGGATCTTGTGGTCGTCGCTACAGTGACTCTAGACAAGCTCGATATCCATCTGCTACGCCATACGAAGCATGACGCCAGTGTAATAATGGCTGGTTGAATCCGAATCATGATGCTGCTACCCTGTCCATGCCAAAGTCAAAATAAAGTTGCATACATAGTCTGACGAGAACATGCTACCCTAATACTTGCTCTGACTTGGATGGTCCAGAGGCGATAGTCATCTCTGAGGGTAGATAGACATAGAGGGGTTCCCTATCCCTTGAGACAATATTCACTATGATTGAGCCGGTGGCCAGCTCATCGCTATCCAGTGAATGTATCTAGTCTGTGTCAGACTGTGCCAGCTTTCTCTTTCGTAGCCCTGGTGTGCGCGCACACTGGCAACATTATCTAGCTCAAAAGAGAGAGGCCTCGGGCTTCTTAGAAGGATCCCTTCCTGCTCACGTCAATGCTGGCGACCTGGTAGTCAAGAGAGTTTTGTGCGGTTATCCATTGCAATGCTCCCTGCTCAATAACCTTCCTCAATGCGTGGTATCCTCCCAGCCTTGCCACCCTCTTCCTTTGATATCCTTTAACTCCTCCTCACTATAAGACTTGCCCGTCGTGAAGTAGCCGGCATTGATTTTGGCGTCGATTTCGACTCTGGAATCTGCGGGGATAAGGTCTGGTAAAAAAAAGAAAAGAAAAATAACATTGTTAGTTTAGATGGAAGACTAATTTGGCGAGAAATTGATTGAGGCGCTGTGGAAGTTGAGGGGGAAAAGGAAACTCACGGTCAGGAATGGGAACTCGCTCGTAGATGGGGATGCCTTGTCCTACTATCGCGTCGTACTTCATGTTGGACATGGACAGCATGCGGTCGATCTTTTTGATGCCCAGCCAGTGCAGTATGTCTGGCATGAGAGCTTGGAAGCGCATCTGTGAGATTTTTGTTAGTACATGACAGTAAAGATTAAGTGTCTCTGAGCAAACGACAACATAGGACATACTAGGAAGGGAGAGAAAAATGAAAAAGCTTACATCTCTGACACCAGCAATGGCTTCAGTTCGCTGAAAATACTTATCGGCAGTGTCCCCTCCGCGTTTCCTCGAATTGTACACCAAATACTTGACCACTTCACCCAAGGCACGCCCTTCCTTTCGGAAATAGATGACCACACCAGAGCCTCCGGCTTGAGCCTCCTTTAGGGCCTCTTCGATCCCAAAGGCAAGATATGGGCGACATGTGCAAATGTCTGATTGGAACACGTCGGAACCATTGCACTCGTCGTGGATGCGAAGGGCCAATTTGACGCTCGGGTCCGACACTCGCTCGGGCGGGCCAAAGATGTAGACAGTCAGCCCACCGATCGGTGGCAGAAACACGCTCAGATCAGTTCTCGTGATGAATTCCGGGTAGCTCCCTCCGGTGTGCTCGAATAGGGCTCGCCGCAACGTCGTCTCATCCACTCCAAAGCGCTCGGCCACCCCGGGGAGATGCCACACGGGTTCGACTGCGACTTTGGTCACGCGGACATCGCCCGCGTCGTTGAGGACGATTTTGCCGTCGACCTGCAGTCTGTTTTGTCGGAGGGCGTCAGTGATCTCGGCCACGCGCATCGTGGCCCGCGTGATGGCGATGGTGGGGCGCACGTCCAATCCGGCGGCGAGGTGGTTGCCAAAGTACTTGACAATGTCGTGTCCGTACGGGTCCATGGAGACGATCTTGGTCGGATCGGACCAGGCAGGTTGCGGGGCGAAGTCGAAGGTCGGTTGTGTGTTTGTGAGGTCGGGGCGGAAATCGCGCGGCAAGTCGCCAGCAGCCACGGCCAGTGCGTTGTAGAAGCTGTAACTCCCGCCATGGGCGCCGATCGCGTTGCGTCGCTTGAAGCTGTCAAAGCTCCGGGACACGATGATCGGCCCTCTGGTCTGGGGGTCTGCGGCGCCCCATTGTAGAGGAATCGGGTCGGCGACGCTCTGTCCTGGGTAGGTGGTCAGCACGACGCGATTGCTGTATTTCTGGGTCAGCGACAGCACACTCGACGAGCTGGAGCTGCTGGGTGTGCTTGGTCGAGAACGATAATGCTCTTTCTCGTCGATCGCCGTAACTGTGGCCGTAACGCCGACCGCCATCTTGAGCCGTGCACTTGATGTAGTCGTCGACAAGAGTGTCTTCGGTCTCTTGACGCTTCGCTCCTCGGAAGATGGATCGGGCTGGTCGAAGTCTAGGGAATACGCCGTGTTCAGCATTTGAGACAGATCTAGCGTTGCGAATCATAAAGTATAAGAGGGCGATGGATTGTTGAGTCACACGTTGGATGGTATGGACGATAACTGCTCTTGCCGTTCAGATGGGTCACAGAGAAAAGAGGGTGGATAGGTCATCTGGTGCCTGAAGCAAGACAAATTTGGTGAAGCCGTCGCCGCCATCTCTGATACCCCGATACTGCAGAACAATCTTTTTTGTTTTTCTGGGTTCTGATCCCCATCATGGGCTGTAGTGGGCACTTTGCCGAGGGAGGGTCCTGCTGGGGATCTGTGGAGATGGCCGAAGACTGAAGCGATAAGCCAACTATCGTTAGTCTTGTCAAAGAACGTGGGTCCCAGATAATACAATTCGGCTGAAGATAGCCAAGTAGGGTGGCCCATTGCTCTGATAAGCCGGACTCCGCACCTTCTCGTACTCGTCCCAGGCTTTCCCGCTGAATTCAAGACTCTTGGAGGAGCGAGCCTTACTCCGTAACACCTAGGTAGTAAGTACTATGCCACCACTTGGACTCTCTCTTTAGGTCCTGCGGGAGCGAAGGACTGGTGTGGTGGAAGTCCATCCACGGTTGATGTAGAAGTCGGTGCTAGATTCTGCCAAATTGTGTAATAACTGTGTATTCTATATTATTTTTTCTCATTCCTAGGTACACTCTTTGAACCGAGGCCTTGCCCAAATTCTCTCGTCCGTCAGAAGAGGGTCCCATCACCAGCGATCAATATAGGGCTTGATCTGCTCTTTGGTCGCTTTGTGGCAGCCAGCTCGCGACCGGTTTTCCACGAGCCAGCCTCCAGCATTTGGGCCATACTAATAGCAATTCCTTGAGCTGCAAACTCCTTAGAAATGATCTCGTGCAGTCGATCAAGGAGGGCAACTGTCATCGCACGCCACTCGACAATCACATCGCTAGTGGCGTCGTAGATGGGCAAAATCTGTCCAGATGCCCTCTGGCCTACACTTAGAGTGTCTTCTTTCAGAGTTAGAACACCCATGTCCACAAACAGACCTCCATTCCGATATTCAGGCAGCCCAGTGCCCAGCTCCATATTCTCCCACCTGGCATGCAGAATCTTCACAAACGGGGTCGTTAATGAATATGCCAGCCACTGAGTCAGCTTGTGAAACGGCTGTATAGCTTTCGCCGGAGTATCGTTGGCATCGGACTGAGACTGCCGCGCGAGAACCTGAAGAGGCCAAGCATCTCCAAGAGGTTGACTCCCAAGGTGTGTTCTGTCTTTGGGCCATGCGGGAAGCAGTAGACGCTGCAGGGCTGACCACAGGACAGTGTAGTCAAGAACATCGGTTCCAGTGGCCGAAGCGGTCAAGTAGTCTAAAAAAGAAACCATTGACTTCAATCAGGATCCCAGGTTGAAATGACTTTTAAAAGCAAGGGTCTGCACCGCATA